GGAATATTAATAGCACAACCAAATACCGAATGAGACTATTTAATTCAAAACTTCATTCAGGTTTGTCTCGTAATGAGAATTACATAGAATTCTATTCTCATGTTTATTTTAACGCTGCGATGTCAGTACGACGTCTGTTAGTGGCAACAGTATGAGTAACACATAAGGAGCGAATGTTATTGTAGTACGTTTCGCTTGCCGGAAACACGTACCTACGGTGCCGAAAAGATATTAAGCAGCGAGTTAGGCCTGTTGGGAGCCGTTGGAACTTATTAGGGCTGTCATACGTTTCGGATTGCCCGAATTATCACAGTTTGAAAGTTTTGCTAGGTGGGCGGGGCTGTTTAGGGGAACTAATGTAAGGAGTTTTTGTAGACCTTCTTGTTCTAATAATACAAGTCATTACTATTTCGTTATCAAGCATTTTTTTGAGGTAAAACTATGAAAGAGAATTTTGCATTTTTTTCTTTAAGCATTTCTAGGTGTAAAGACCATTGTTATTACAATAAATACATAATGAAAAAATATGAAATGGTTACTTCATTATTATGTTTAGTCAAGTTTTTTGTTAAGGTCGATTCAATATGGTGTTTAATTTTTTTTCATCTTTTATTGAACCTGCCCTTCACCTGATTTCTTTGAAATAACCTTAATTTAGTGTTGTTTAAGTAGTAGCCCTAGTATTTGCTGCCGTTGGATACAGACGTCGACATAAACGGACATTTGTATGTGTGTATCCGGGCAACTGTAAACCCATCTCACGAACTGATTGAATGAATTTATATTTCATTTATTCTATATGACTACAATCTGATATGATCTTAGTTATTTATTATCAAAGAATAAGTTCGTCAAGTCCAGTACAAAACTGTTTCAAAGGGTGTACATTTTCAATCAATAAAACGTAAGAGACAAACTATGTTTATAGTTATTTCTTCTATTATATATATGGACAAAAATGTATACATATATAGAAATGTATATATTATTCTTATACAATATCGTGACGCATTGCAGCATGTGACTAGCTTTTATAAAACAGAATTACTTATGAATATACCTACTCCAGACTGTTTCTTCTGTATATCAATGAAATGTGTCTGAAATTGAAACTTCCTTAGCGGAGGTTTCAGATTGGGGCCGACTTTAATCCAAAAAAGACACTGTTCATGACGCGTTCACCGCAAAGAAGATACTACATATTTGTCGAGGCATCGACATATTCGAGCGAAGTCCGTTTCAGGGTCACTTAGAGGGAAGGTCAAATTGGCTTCGAAGAAGCTATGTGTGCTGAACAGGTCGAGGCAGTATTTCACTCCGGCCCACCGCCTTCAGCTCTATAAAGCGCAAGTCCGACCGCATATGGAATACTGTTCTCATCTCTATGCAGGGTCACCTCAGTACCAGCTTCTCCCTTTGGACCGCATCCAACGAAGAGCGACTCGAATGGTCGATAGCCCAAGCATCTTCGATCGGCTCGATCCCTTGGTGTTATATAGAGATGTGGCTTCACCTGGCATTCTCTATCGCATATATCATGGAGAGTGCTCCGAGGAATTGTTCGGATTAATACCGGTCGCAACTTTTCATCCCACCACCTGCATAGTTAGCGTTCCACTACTGTGCGCTTTTCGATTCGACCTTCAAACCTTCAAGAAAAAAGCGTACTCCTTCTTAAAAGGCCGGCAACGCGTTTGTGATTCCAGAGTTGCAGATGTTCATGGCCGGCGATGGTCAGTTTCCATCAATCAGGTAACCCGTCTGCTTGCCTGCCCCTTCTAACATAAAAAAAGATCTTAAAATCAGAAGAATGTTTTTTTAGTACAAAATAAACCAAATATTGATTTTTTTTTCCTATAAATTTAATATTCGTAGTCTCGTCTCTCAAAATAATGCTTGTCTTGGTAAAACAAGACTGATTGAAAGTGAAGTGATAATTCCGTTTGCTTAGTTGATTGTGGATCTAATGTTGACCAATTTAAGTACAATCACAATTTTTAGGTAGGACCAAGAGAGGAGAAGACGAAGACTGGAGACTTAGAACGCACAGTAAATTTAGTTCTACAGGTAATTGTGGTATGGCATCCAAGCTCCTTACCAGTACCCATATAATGAAGACACAGAGTTGACGTAAATTAACAACTTTAACTTACAAAACTATTGTCAATGGTGGTTACGTAATTAAATAACAATTTCAGTTGTATGTTTTAGAACTAAATTAAAATGGTCTTCCGTTTACTTAGAAACACTTTGACTAAAATAAAAATAGGCATTTGGCTTTGTTAGACGAATAAGGTCATCAAGCAGTAGGCTCGCCTAACAAAAAGCGGTCACCCCGTAGCCTACTAAATTATAAAACCATGCGTAATTTCGACCTAAACTCTCATTCAAGAATGAGTTAGGTCTTTCTAGACCTTCGAGATAGACTATATATATATATATAGAAAGCCGGGGAAGAACAATAATTACTAGATATGACCTAGCGGTCGAATTTCGAACGTTTTGATAATGGGCTCATGACCTGTCATTGAAGCGACTTTGGTGAAATGAAATCGAATAATACATAATAATATTGGAGCCTCAGAGCTGTGAGTAGTCTCATTTATACTAATATTATAAATGCGAAAGTGTGTCTGTCTCTGTGAACCAATTTAAATGCAATTTGGTATAGAGATCTATATACTATACTAAATTGCCTCTAAATTCAGCAGTTTAAGTATAAAGAGGTAAGAGCCATGCAGACAGACGGACACACTTTCGCTATTAATAATATGAGTCAATACATGTTTGCTTAAAACTGCATACAAAGAAGTCTCCTCATTACTAACACATGCACACATATTAATTTATACAAGATGTAGGAGTGCTAGTAGTCTTCCTATTCTCTAGATAAAATTTAAGAATGTATCCATATACACATTGGCATGAAGGAAATACACAAATTTAATGTGTAACCTATTTATTACCTTAGAAACGCTTTAAAAGTCAAAGAGGTCTTCATATCGATCATGGAGGAAAATGCAATAAAAACTATTTTGTATTGAACACAATTGTATGCATGTAAATACTGAAGGAGGATAACCAATTGTTGAGTGCCCCCTTTATTTATTAACAACTCTAATAATATAGTTAATAGGTACTGTAAGTTTTCTGCATATAAAAATTGTTGGCAATATTTATGTTCCATAATAGGAGAGTAGAAGCAGTTATGAAAGTGGTAAAAATGGTTAATTTGTTAAAATATTATTGCATGTACCAGTGAAATGTGAAATAACATGTTGAAAATTGGTGTTGTATTTTAATTGTATCATGCACCAGTGCTAAAGATTTTGTGAGCAATCTTTGAGCCCTCCCTTCTCAGGAGTAGGGGGTCGGTAAAAAGTAACAAAGCAATTGTTTAACACCGGCTTTTTATGAAGTCATGGTACCACTCCGGTCAAGCCTATCCATTTGTGCCAAAGTATAGCTCTCTCATGATTATTAGAGGGGTTGAATTGTGTTATTTTGTTGGATATTATAAATGGGGTATTCCTTATCATAGTTTTTTTTTCTGTATTAATGATTATTTCTTGAGTCATTATGAGTAATAGCATAACAAACTCACTTCTGCATATTCATTTTAATAAAATAATTAAATCATATTATATTATACCTCTTACCATTGATATATACTTTAATTAACTTGTGTCATACTAATTGGGTAGTTTTCATTTAGTAAATTAAACAATGATCAGATGGAAGATAGATATATTTTTGCAGTATCCATCCAATTCTAATTCATCTGCTAAAACTAAGGTACAAGAAATATATTATTACTCAAGAAAGGGTTGTCACATGATGGTTTACATGAATATTTAGTACACACGAGATATTCAAAGTAATATATTGGTTTAATATTATCAGTGTGAGACATTATCAGTATGACATCATGTAATCTTATCTTTAATGTATAGGTGGCATATTCACATGACACTAACCAATAACAACTCACATATTTCACATATCAGTATCTGAAAGATATGGAAATATATACTTACATATGAATGACAATATTTATTTATGTTTGGAGTAATCATCATTTGTCATTATTTGCCTTTAATAGTCCACTGCTGGTTGAAGGAAGGATTGGCCCACTATACCACCCTGGCCAGACGGGTTGCTATAGGGTTTGGTAACACTCAGTATTCTTAATCTGCCTCCACACAGAGCAGTTTAAGGTAATAGAAATGGTAATTTTTAAGATTATTAATTGCATAAATTTAGACCTAAGTGTGCTAGATTGATTCTCATTTCTAGGGCTTAGGTCCCTACCTTAGGCATTAGGTTTTAAGCATTAGTTAGGTAATAGTAGTTTTAATAAATAAATATTTATAAGGTATGAAGCCTTTTGTTTAATAAATGTTTTGATCAAATGGCTATATCATGAATATGGGTTTACAGGTTTCAGAAGATTACTTAAGCACTTAATTAGTTTCATTGTGGACTTCAAGAATAGCTATTTTGATCTTTATGATTATACATTCTATAATTGTTATTGTTCAGACTAATAGTAGTGATAGAAACTAATTTGAAATAAATGTAAGGATTTAACTTTGCTAATTTATTTTAGTGATTATATTAATTGGTTTCGTTTAGATATAATATCTAAGAGTGTAGGATATTTCTAATATGATTTTTATAATATCAGAAATTTTACTATCAACATCATGGATACCCACTATTTCTGTTACTTTAAAATTACCCTTGCATTAAGAAAAAAACTATATGTATAATGTATTTTTGTTACTTTAAAGAATTGTGATTTAAAAAGTCCAGGAGATACCATAAACACAGCCTAAAATATATTGTTATGCAGTACTAATACAATCAAGTCTAGGTTTGATTATCTAACTCCTTACTTTAATATATTATAATGTACAAAATTCATAACTTCTTAGTAAAAACAGAATACCATGATCACAGTTGCTACATTTCATACAGATAATGAATCATTGACTCACCCGTTGCAGCTGCAGGGAGTGGTTGTAGCAACGAAGCAGCTTCTCCACGAGCGGCCTGACTGCGCGCCATGCCCGCTCCTGGGATATTCGAGAGGGGTCCGCTATAGCCTCTCTTATCTCCTTCCCTGCACCCTTGTAACACTGTATCTCTTCAAGAATCTTCTCCGAATCCAAAAGTACCCGCTGCACCTCCTCGTAAACATCGCGCTCGGTATCCGTGGGCGCGGCGTTCTCAAAATCTAAGAATATATCGTAACGCGGCGAAGAACAACAATTGGAGTCATCGCGCGACAAGAGACTCAGTAATTTCCCCATTATAGGCTAAATAAAATATAATTTATTAAAACACCCTATTCGATAACGAACACTGCATTGCCTATGTAAAATTATGATACCACGAAATGTCACGTCCGAGTCCTTGTATCACTTACTTTATGTATGAAATTTTATTACTTATTTGCAATTTAAATGTTTATTCTTTGTAATTAAAAAAAACACCCAATTTAAAACAAAAATTCTACTGATATTTTTACACAACACCACACGCCTAGTATAACTGAGTATCTGTTGGTATCTGCTCTTGGCACACGCCTCGCTCGACTGCGGGCTGCGGGCGCTGCGGCAGACAAACTGTCAAGATAAGGAAGGTAGTGTTGTTAAACGTCAGGAGAGTTAGTCAACTACATTAGTCGATTGTAAAGCAGTGACTTGATTTAAGAATAAACTACAGTCTGAGTTAGACTAAAAAGACATTTGGTGGGTTGCCGCGTTATCATAATATAAAAATAGTGTTGTATCCTGATTGACAAAAGTTTGAATTTGCATTGATCAGTGGCATAAGAAGTTTGGATTTATAATTTCAGCATTATCAGAACATAAACTTAAGTCGTGCCTATTAGTCGTGTATAGTCGTGTATGACAATAAGATATTTCCAAACAAAACTGCAGTCATTAAAATTGACAAGCCGGAATTAGATATAAAAATGTTTACAAAGAGTAACATGCTAAGTTATCCACTTCCTAGTTTATTTCATTTTATTCAAAAAGAATATGCTTATTACTATCGCTGGTAAGTATACAGCAAGAATGGTGTTGTGGTGTATATAACTTTTTTTTTCAGAAGGACGCTTCTGGGTTGGTAAATAAAATTGATGATAATTGAATAGTAATAATAAGTTTAAATTATATTAGTTATCTGTTTATTTTCAAATTTATAATTACTTTAATCATAATCATATTTACTGTAAAATAAAATATGACAAACCTTTACAATTTAGGAGATTTTTTACTAACAAGAAACTTAAGTATTACTTATTTTTATCACGCTTCTATTAGCTTAGTATATATATGTATCTATGTAATGGAATCTTCGAACGTCATTTTGACTCTACAAAGACGGGTTAAATTAAAACTTACCCCTGATGATGATAAGTAGGTACTAATTCCCTGAGTTCCTCTACCAGGTATTTAAGGAATTATTAACTTCAAAAAATTCACTTACACTAAAAGGTAATAAGGTGATAAGGCTGTGAAGGATGCACTGTGGCATACAATAAAGATAAGTAAGTGTTTCAGGGGCTGATTCCATATTAAAAGTAAATTATTTTTTGTCTCATTGTTCTTTATGGTTCCATTGCGGTACGAGCACAGTAATGCTGATTAATTTTCGAGTTCTGTAACTAGAGGGTTGTCAGCGGTGCAAAGCACAAGGCACAGACCCAAGAGGGACGCTAAATGACCAAACAAGTGTAGAACGCATGTGTGTGGCGCTCTACAGAGGGCGGGCTTGTACTGCTCACATAACCTGCAGTTTACGTACGTGATTTGCGTATTAGAGTACAAGGCTTTCAGTCCACCATCAAAGTTTTATTTACTTTAGAAAGAGGGCGCTGTGATTCTGAAACTTTCGTGGAAAACTCAAGGCTTCAATCCCGAGAGACTGTATTAGTGTCGTATAGAGGGCTCTAGAAAGTTCTACTTTTGATCTTAATTTAATAACATTTTACCGTTTTTAGTTAGCAATCCATGATACATAATAGTTGGTTCTGTATCTGGGTCTAATTTTATCTAAAACTAGCGATCCGGACCGGCTTCGCACGGGTGTAAAATAGATACTACTATGTCAGTGTGGGGTAATTAATTATACTATTTGTCACCACCCCTGTTCATCGCGTGGGTGTCGTAAGGGACGACTAAGGGAGCCAACTACGCAAAACACAACACTGCAAAGAGATGGAAAACTTAAGACAAACCCTATACCACCCCGTCTGGCTAGCGTGGTACAGTAGGCCAAGACCTCCTATCTAAGGAGAGGCCCATGTCCAGCAGTGGACTATTACAGGCTGTTGATGATGATGATTATGTATTATGATAGGACTATACTACAGGACATCTTTAAATGCAATATTTGTAGGCCCGCTCCGATTCTGTATGTCGGCCGCTGCTACCTGGGACGGATGTACGGCTCGACGGTCGTTGGCCCCCCGCATTTTAAACCTCTAATATCTTCTTAAAATGTTCGTTTTAATGATGTGCTATACAGAGCAATTTTAACCTACATTAAATGCTCAATGTATCTAACTATTTACTTGAATGAAGAATAATAATGTATTGTTTAAATTAACTTCGTAAATAACCCATTTCTTTTGTAATATTTAAAAGATAAGAATGATTACTGTGGTTTATCCTTAGGTGATAGATATATACTCGTACCATCGCGGACTTATTTTGAAGGTCTTTTTAAGATATACAACTCCGTAGTACATTATTTTGGTCTTTCTCGTAAGGTTTAACCAGCGTTTGCAATATAAGCGCACAAAAACATGTTTTTCTACGACAAATCTTTGCAATCCTCGAATTTTCTCTACTATAATATGCCTGTATTATACAGATGAACCTTCCTCTTGAATCATTTTCTCTATTGGTGAAAAGCGAATTAAAATCCTTTGCTAAGTTTAAAAGATTTAAGCGTCCAACCCAAAAAAGCGACTTTATTTTATACCATGTAAAGATACTGTAGGTGAGCGGTGGACAGAAATAGGCTTGCACTATTGGGGGCCTATTGAGTCCCACACAGGAGCTGGACTCATCTACACGCCGTAAATGGCCCGAGGCACGTTTGGGACTTGGGGTACCAGGGATTTCCTTCCTAGGGTACACCCGGCACCTGGTACCCGAGACAGCGTGCGGTTTTTGGTCGGTTCGTGTCTGACATAACCACCCCACCGGTGGTATCCGACGGGATCTCCGCCCAGGAATACAAAGGGGGAATATTGCGTAAAGCTAGCCTTAAGTAAGTGCGACTAAAATTATTGTCAGTAAAATGACTTTAATACGCCTCTGTCTACCCCTTCGATAACATAAAACGTGTGTTTTTTTTTAATAAGACAACGCCCGCACGTTAAGTATCCTGTGTCGCGGGGGACTTTACAAACATTTATAACATGGACAAAAAGAACACCCAGATTCAGAATTACAATTGTGGAGTGTTGTCCCATGTGGGGATCGAACCCACAACACTCAGCGCAGTAGGAAATGGGAAGGTGACCGCTTAAACCGCGTGCAGTCGTATTGTGTTGATTGTACGTGTGTTAACCATAATTTTTTTTTAGGGGTACATCGTTTTTTTCCACTGTAGGATTCAAAGTTATGACTAATAAATAAAATATTAGGCATTATTTATTTATTATTATAAGTGTATAACATCGACACATTGCCATTTATCATACGATTTACAAATAAGATTTCATTTATTTAATATTTACACAATTCTGCCCGTCTCTTGATACACACCCTTAGATATAATATTCTATTTTTTGTTACGGCTGTCATGAACTTGTGGAGGGCACGTCGATTAATGTAGGTACATAGTTTTAGCTTAAAAAATGTTTTAAATAGAAAACAACAAACCTGTGTCTACATGTGACGTGCCGAAAGATCGGATATTCCAATTTATTTAACCAAATTAAATTAAAACCATGCTATTTTATACGATTCGATTCGATTTAACACTATTCGATTGTTTTTAAGTCTGTATCTTACGATTAGAAAAATATATATCTACAGTGAAAACTGAGGTGAAATAAATATTTGAATGCATTTAATGACAAAGTATATTTAAAGACTAGTGCCTAACTCTGCCCTCCAACCAGTACATGAGCAATAATAAAACTATGACTATCCCAGTGGTGAGTACACCAATATACCGAATTATATTAAGTCAGATTTCCAAGCCCTGTATAAAACATTACCTACTGATTAATTTAAGAGATAGAAGTGGACAGAGCGAGATAATAACTGTAATTTATCAAATTATGTTCACTACTAATAAGAAAAGACATTCTATGAAACCTATTAAATATCTCCATGATCATATATTTTTAAAGATCAGTCTAACATTCGATTAAAAATTTACAACTTTCATCTAACGTTTAGGTAGGTATCTACTTTCCTTATATTATATTATGTATAAGGCTACGGCCAACGTCAGAGGCCTACTGTATAATCCATTAGCTCCAGGAATATAAATTTTAGACTAGAAATATAGATTCAATATAAATTAAACGAGTCACACAATTTTTAAGACAGGCTCTTTACTTGTTGTGACGAAATTATATAGGCCTGCGACCCATCTTTCCTTTTAACTTGTAATTATATTTTACGATTTTCTCATTAGCCAAATCGTCTTAAGGGTATCGTAATTCGGGGTGGCGACGAGCGCGTTGCGAAGCGCGCTCGCTTCCAGGGAGCACAGGGAACATGGGGTTCCCACACGGGGGAGGGGTCGTCTACTCGTCTGTAGATGACCTGAGGTATGTCGGGGCACCAGGGACTTCCTTTCTAGGGTATACCTGGTTCCCCGGCTATTAGTACCCGAGACGGCGTGCGGTTTTAGTCGGTTCGAATCCGACATGCCACCGACAGGTGGTATCCGAGGGGATTTCCGCACGGAAAAAAAAGAGGTATCGTAATTGAAAATTTACAATCATTAAATAAATTCGGAACTGCTCCGTATTATGATAGAATCTACCTATATTAGCATAAGTATATTCACTCGTTTTACGATAGGATCGACTCATCTTAAGAATAAATCGAAAATGTTCTGTGATACTGTTTAAATCACCGTCTTTTTGCAAATTTATTAAAATTGGAATTAAGTGAGAAACACACATTCATTGAAACTTAAAATTGATCAGACCCTTATCCTTGAGGTAATTTTGTTTTATCAAATGAATTCCAAACTTACTACATATGATCTAAAGACAACAAATAAGACAAAAAAGTCACTATATTATGTATAAACCATAAGTAAAATC